GAGAGAAAACACTCAAAGCTGTCAAGATAAATCATTCCAGAGTGTTTATATTCATCAAAGAGACCTGCGCATCATTGAAGATCATCTACAGAGTCTCAGAAGTTGGAAGCAAGACAACACTTGTTTTGGAGCAAAACAAGAGAAGGGAGGAAAGTAGCACGGAGCTGTGAAATCCTGGATTGTCACACGGAGCTGTGAGATCCGGAGCAGCAGTGTCGGAGGCACTGGGCGTGATTGGTGTGGGCTTGGTGATCAAAGCACCAGATCACGGGATACGTTTCTACCGGAGTGTGGAAGACGGGGGGAAAGTAACACGGAGTCGTGAAATCCTGGGATAGTAGCGCGGCGACGTGAAACCCGAAGCAGCAGTGTGGTGTCACTGGGCGTGAGTAGTGCGGGCTTTGTGATCAAAGCACTAGATCACGGAAATTCATTGTATCTTGGAACCAAGGAGTGGTAGATATAGTGAATTGGCTCTTGGAGAAAAGAGCAAGTGGAGTAGGAGGATTACACCACCTCGCGAACCACTATAATTGTCTTGTGTTCTTTACTGCTTTCTTTACATACTGCTCTTTACATATTTGTGCTCACGAAGATATAATGCTCACACAATCTCACACACACTTTATCTTTATTTATTTCCGCTGTGCACCATACTCTAACAATCTAGTTAAGAGTTTTAGTTTATCTCTGTCTTAGCAATTGTTGTGCTGTGCGAAAAAGTTTGAAAGTCTATTCACCCCCCCCCCCCCCCCTCTAGACTTTCACCTTACCTCTTTTGGGACCAACATAAATGTTAGATTTAACTAAAAAAAAAAAGTTAAAGAATTCATACTTTCGGTATTAAAAAACTGATACTATTCGGTTTAACATTATCGTTCAGTTTTGGCTCAGAATTAGTTCGGTTCAGTTTAATAACTTCAATTTTTAACATTCCCTAATTTTTCAAACACACTACCAAACAATATAAATGTTAGATTTAATTAAAAAAAAGTTAAAGAATTCAATTCACAACGTGGAATGTTATGTGGCTGCTAGGATTCAAGCCCAGGTTTTCACGGCCACAACGTGGAATTCTTACCACTAAACTACAACCACAAGGTTATAAGAAAGAATAATAAAATCTTAATTATACATAAATATGTCTTCATGATAATGATAGTTTCAGTTAATGTTGAATTTAGTCATCTGACTATCACTCATTATTTATTTATTTATTTTTTTGATAAGAAAGGCTTAATTCATTAAATCAGATAAAAGACAATCAACCAGAAAAGGGGGGGGGGGGGGGATGGTCAAACCACTCCCCGCAACCTGATAAAGAAACGCCTTCCCGAGCAATAGTGTGGACAACATGATTCGCAGATGGTTTAAAAAAACGAAAGTTGACACCATTTAACTTGTTGTTTAATCGGACACTCGGAGATATTTTGCCGGAAAGCGCATGAAGAGGATATTCAACCAAGGGATTATCCATATGGCTCTTAGTTGAGAGCTGGTGTCTGAAGGCAAGTGAAGTCAGTGGGTGCAAAATGGTTGCTGAGGGATCTTCGAGAGAAGCCAACTTGCGTTGCTTCCACCCATGTGATCCCTACTACTAATGTGGCTATCAATGAAGCGTCTATTGTTGTTCAAGAAGAACTAAAACGCAGACGCGAAGATACAAGGACTGACGGGCACTTGGAGACAGATGATGTTAACATGTTGGACGCTTAAAAAAACTTGAGCCTGGCGGGTTTGGAAAGCCAAGCCCACCCATCCCAATGAGTACCATGAGTTTGAACTGTCGAGGTTTGGTGTCCCTTGAATAGTTCGTGAGTTAATGAGCTTTGTGTCCATTCAGTGACCCAACTTTGTCTTTTTGATGGAGACAAAGGCACGTTCTGCATAGGTGGAACAACTTCGTATTCGTTTGGGTTTTGAAGGTATATTCAATGTCGACAGAATTTGTTTGGGGATAGGGGGGGCTGGCCCTCCTATGGAAGGATTCAAATATGACTTATTTGCTAAGTTACTCGAGCAACCACATTGATGTGGTAGTGTCTACAGTGGCAATTTATATCCTACACATGGCGCGCGTTGCACTGTGCGCCCAGATGCAAAACGACGTCGTTTTATTTTATTTTATTTTTTGAAATTTCCCGTCCCAGTGTATGGCAGTTAATTTTTCTTTTAAAAAAACCCTTGTTAAAAAATGTACATAATGTTATACTATAATACACATAATTGTATACATGAATGTACATAATTATATAACAAAATATACATAATCTTTTTAAAAGATAATACACATAATCTAACATAATACATAATAAACATAAAATTTTAACATAATACACATCAACTCTTAACATAATACACATAAATTTTCTGATTCGGATGTACATAATTGTATAAAAAGAATGTACATAATTGTATAAAAAATGTACATAACTGTATGAACAAATATACATAATTGTGTGAACAAATATACATAATCACAGCAACTTCCTACTGCGCCTCCCAAAACGACGTCGTTTTGGGAGGCGCGCGGCGCACAGTGCTACGCGCGCCGTGGTGTAGGGTATAACGATTGGTCTACAATAGGAATGCCTCAATGGCATCTTACTTGTTATTATGGCTTTCCGGATAGAGCTAGGCGCCAAGAGGCTTGGGATTTCCTCCGTGATCTTCAACAGTGCTCAAATTTGCCATGGATCGTGGTTAGTGATTTCAATCAGTTAGCCAATCACAATGAAAAGGGGGGACCTTATCCTCATCCAGATGCGTTTCTAAGAGGTTTCAATGCCACTTTATTTGATTGTAGCTTATCAGACTTGGGAATGAAAGAACATGCATATACTTGGGAGAGAGGCCGATATACAGATCATTGGGTCGAAGAACGCTTTGATAGGGCCGTGGCGACCGTAGAATGGCTAGTGGATTCGGTTAAACCGAAACTTCACACTCCATGCTTCGATGAGTTACGAACTAAAAAGGTTAGCAATTTACTCACCACAGATGGATCTTGGGATGTAGAAATCTTTCGAGACTTGTTTGATGAACAGGATGTGAGTCGTATCCTCAGTACGCCCATATCCCTTGATCATGATGACTGTTGGCTCTAGAAAGGGGATATAAGGGGGTGGTATATGGTAAAGCATGGATAGATTTTGTTAACTGAAAGAGGCTATGGGGGATGAAGGTGGCGCCTAAAATTAAGAATTTCATGTGGTGGTGTGTTAGAAATATTCTATCGCTATGTGATCTCCTTCGGTCTAAACATATATGGATTTGGGGTGGATGTCCACTGTGTACATCGAATGAGGAAACTCTTGTGTACCTCTTATGCGCTTGTCCAATAGTGAAGCAGCTTTGGGGCGTGGTTGACATTCTTTAAGGGCAGTCTTTTAACCAATTTGTAAGCTCAATTCTAGACACTACTGATGAAAGGGAGATTAGTTTGATGATTGCGCGTTTTTTGTCCACTTGGCTAGCCCATAATGATCAAGTTTTTAATGACAAGACATGGTCTGACGATAAGTTAAACGCACATGTTCTTTCCTTGGCTGACCATGGACAACATGCATATTCAAGTCTGCCGGCAGCTTTGGAGGACACTGCTGCATCCTATAATACATGGTTACCACATCCTGTTGGTTTTCTTAAATGCAACATTGCCGCATCTGTATTGGAGGATGGTGTTGGAGTAGGAGCTATCATTAGAGGAAGTGATGGCAAGTTTGTAGCGGCGCGAGCTTCTCATTTACAATGTGGTATGGATCCCTACCTTGCTGAAACCATGGCGGTGAAGGAAGCTCTTACTTGGCTCAAAGCTTGTGGTGCTAATCACATTATTATAGAATATGATTGCATGAATTTCTGTTCTTGTTTTAATGCATTTTATCCGGATTATTCTTATGTTGGTATTTTGATTAAGCAATGACAGTCGATTGCTAAGGACATTGGGGATGTTGTTGTCTGCCATGTCCGAAGGTCAGCGAATCATATAGCTCACGTGCTTGTACGAGCGACTGTTTCTATATCTGTCCTTGGTGTTTGGGATTCTGCTCCATTGAGTTGTATCTCGGGTTTGGTTATGATTTGATGTAATGAAAGTTTTGTTGGTTATAAAAAAAGAGAAAATGACACTTTCCCCCCTCGAGTTATATACTTCATCCCCCTAAATTATTCAAGTGACTATCCACCCAAATGTTAAATGGACATATTTACCCTTAAAATAAATATTTAAAATAAATATTTTATTTATTTTTCTTCTCCAACAAATTATGACCACAATTTGGTTCAAACCAAACAGACATTATAGCAACCAAACCGAAATATTCCAATTACAATTTAGAATCGGAACTCGATATTTAGAGTTTATTAAAATTGCGAACCAGAACGACCGGTTCATGTTTTGAACTGAAAAAAATAATAAAATACATTCATTGTTGAATTTAGACAACTTTAAAATAAAAAATAAAATTTTAAAATAAAGACGGTTCAAAATCGCGAACTGAATTTGAAACTGTCGGTTCACGGTTCAGGATCTAATTTTTTTGATTCATAATTTTAATAAACTGAAAATCCAAATATTGGGTTCTGAATATGAATCATAACCTAAAAATTTTAATTCGATTGCTGTAGTGCCTGGTTCAGTTAGAACTGAATTGTGGTCATCTCTATGCATACGCAACAATTTGTTAGAGAAGAAAAATAAATAAAATGTTTACTTTACAGATATAAATGTCAATTTAATATATTAGAGGGAAAGATCACCATTTTTATAATAATTGAAGGGACTAATATGCTTACATGAATAATTCAAAAAAAAAAGTGCTATAAGTATATAACTAATAGAAAAAAGTGCTATTTTCTCTAAAAAAAAATAAAAAAAATAAAGAGGGTGCCATCGAATGTCTCATAAATAATTTTCCCCTCCACAATTTATATTTTTATAAAAGCCCCTAAAAATCTGAACAATTTAACTTTCTCCTCTTCCAAGGACCAAGACTACGAGTCTGTGACAGCTGTTAATGGCAAAGTGTTTTGTGTGAGTGCATGAAAAATCCCGGAAACGAAAACGCTTAAAACCCAGTAACGATTACCGAAACAAACCCCTAAAATTCCATTGTTTCTTCACTCTCTCACAAATCTTCTTCGCTCACTACACTTGCAAAATTTCTTCACCCTTTTTTTGGGGTTCAATAACATGAGGTGGGATAAGGTGAGGGTACAAGGAGTGGGTGTTGGGCCCGGTAAGAGGTGGGGCCACACCTGCAACGCCATCGGGGGAGGGAAACTTCTCTATGTGTTTGGCGGCTATGGCAAGGATGACTGCCAGACTAACCAAGTTCATGTCTTCGATACTGGTACATTTCAGTAATTCTCTCGCAATTTTTTTTGTGGCTTTATCGTCTTGTTCAAATCCTTGAATCTTTCGCTTTGGGTGCTAAAAATTCTGACTGTTGCTAATTTGTTTGGTAAATTACAGTAATTTTTCTTGATTGGGTTAAAAGATTGTTCTTTTCTTAATTATTTTTTTTAGGGTTTTTATTGATTTTGTTCTCTACTTGAGACTTAGAGTGTAGTTTGGATGTGATTCTTTATCAGTTCATATTTATTCTCAAAGATTATTAGGTTGTTTCCCATGGTGAGATTATTATTTTTGGGTGTTCAGCTCATTTCACTTCAGGCAAGTTGTGTTTCTTAGATTTTCAATTACTACAGTTGAAAGGAATAGAAGAGAGGGAGGGATTGGAAAAGGGGAGAGGAAAAAGAGTTGGGCAAAGGAAGTTTAATTGAAGGAAGAGATGCAGAGATAACATTGCAGGGGAGAGAGTGTGTAGGATATTAACAATTTTTTGGATGTTTCCCAATTCCCAATAAGCTAAATGAAATTCTTAAAAGAGAAACATGGGCCACAAAAGAATCACAACCCGGCATGAACAATGCTTGCTTCCTAACTGCCTTTACTGGTCTGATTATAGGTAGGTGCACTCCCTATACATAACGGAATTAAAACCGGTAACTCCGTGCATTCTTTGTATCGCAGTTAATAGGATGTGGAGTGAGCCTGTGATGAAAGGAGCAGTGCCTATACCGAGGGACAGCCATAGTTGTACCACAGTTGGCGACAATCTTTTTGTCTTTGGGGGTACCGATGGAAGAAGGCCTCTTGGTGATTTGCATATTCTGGACACTTGTGAGTAGCTTAAAACTAACCATTATGCAATGTTAATTCCAAAGTTATTGCATCATTTGCATTAATCTACTTAATTTGCTCTTGATATACTGTTATCCTAGCAACTCCATAAATGCTGAATGGAGAAATGTAGTCATTATATGTTTCTCAAGTTTTTTTTTAAATTTTTTTTTTTTTACTGATAAATGTGGTAATTTTATCAGAAAAACAGCTGAAGAACAAAACATATTGCTTTCCTTTTTCTTAGTTTCCTCTAGTTAATATAAGTCTGGCAATCATCATAGTTCATATTTATTATATGTATATAATTCATTTGCCAAAACTCTTTCTGCTTCTGGAATGCTTTTCAACCAAGAGATCTACTCTGTAGTTTATTTTATTTGTTTTAGTTGCAGTTGTTTGATGATTAAATACTTCAACATTTTAAACATTTGAAACAATTTTCCCTAGAGTTTGAAAGGAATTGTCAAAAGAAATAATAGATTTATTGAAATATTTTTCAATATTCCATAACGTTCAAAAGGAACTGTTGCTACAAATAGTAGACTTATTCTGATGTACATTTTCAGCTTCTAACACATGGATCTCACCAAGTTTAAGAGGTGATGGGCCTGAACCTAGGGAAGGCCACAGTGCAGCCCTTATTGGTAGACGGCTATTTATATTTGGTGGATGTGGAAAATCTGAGGGTAGTGAAATATACTATGATGATCTCTATGTATTGAATACAGGTGCGCTGCTCTCCTTTTTTTAGTTTTAGTGTGTGTGTGTGTGTGTGAGAGAGAGAGAGAGAGAGAGAGAGAGAGAGAGAGGGAGAGAGGGAGAGAGAGTTGTATGTGGTCAAGTGAAAAGAAATTCTTAATAACCATTGCTCTTTAATTGGCAGAGACATTCACGTGGAAACGTGTTGTACCATCTGGCACCCCACCAACCAAGCGTGAGAGTCATAGCTGCTCATCGTGGAGGAACAAAATCATTGTCATTGGTGGGGAAGATACATGCAATTTCTACCTGTCTGATGTTTATATCCTTGACACAGGTATCATTTCATCCCTAAGTCAAATTTGATTATATGATGGAAGAGGAAATCACTACTCCTGCCTAACAGGATTTCTTGTATTATTAAGTCTGCAATTTCCTGATAATTTTAACATCCTTGTTTTAATAGATTCTTTTGTTTGGAGCAAGTTAAACACAACGGGCCAGTTATTATCACCTCGAGCTGGGCATACAACTGTTGCCTTGGGCAAGTACTTATTTGTCTTTGGTGGTTTCTCTGATGAGGAGAACCTATATGATGATGTTTATATGCTTGATGTTGGTAAGCTCTGATCCTTATTTTATCAAGAGTTGGTGTGACTAATACACTTGTGGAGTTGCATTTTCAAGACAGAGTTAACATATAAGAATTTCTGATAACCTAAGGGAAACGACTTTTTCATTTTATGCAAATTGGTTTACAATCTATTCTTAGACCTTAGATTCAGTTACTTCAATAGAAAAACTCACTATGAATATTCCATTGGAAATGGATATTACATCCATCTTTTTTTTTTTTTTTAAATATATTTTTTCTTCAAATTCTTGCAACATGAGAAAATCCAGCATGGCAGCATGTTTGCCAAGGGCCTGCATATACTAACTAAATACAGGGTAATCCTAATATCTTATAATAAGTTCCCTTATCTAAATTTTCCGCTTATTAATTTGCTTAGATTCGCTTTTCTGGAAAGAAATTTGATCAGAAACGCAAGAACCTTTATAGGGAGCTGCAGTAACTCTAGGTTTCCTATAACAGCTGATAACTTAGTAATTAGTGCATGTTAATTTATCCTCTCACATACGAAATTATAGAGTGAGAAATAAATACTTAGAGATAAGCGTAGATTTTATTAGATGTGTTTATACATACTGTAGTGTTACTTTGATAAATCTATATCTTACGGTGGAGGTATAATCATTATCATTATATCAGTAATAGCATTTCTTCCAAATATGTGCGTCTTTTGCAGATGCTGGTGTATGGAACAAGATCATGGCTACTGGTGAGGGGCCTTCAGCCAGATTCTCAATGGCTGGAGAGTGTCTGGATCCGCATTTAGGAGGTGTTATTGTCTTTTTAGGTGGTTGCAATAAGAAACTCGAGGCATTGGATGACATGTATTACTTGCATACAGGTATTCCTTCTACTTTATCTTTGCAACTCTTTGTTTTATGTGAAACCATTTTCTTTGAGTATAGAGTTGGAACTCACATTTGCTTTAAGGGAAATGTAAACTCTGTTGAACTCACATCATCAGGGTTTGTTGGGGAAAGTGAACGCGATGATCGGAGGATAGAGAAGTTGTCTTTGAGAAAACAACTGAAGTTAAAATGCCAAGAGCAGCAAGCTTCTCTTAGTGAAGGTAACTATAATGTCTTCTAGGTTTTAATTTATATTTTCCTTGTATAGCTCCTCTTGGATTGCTTGTTCAGACTTCTTGTGGCTAAGCAGCCTCCACGGCTGGCATATTGTAATTTTGATGAAATTGATACAAGATATCAAGTAACATGAAGAGTGGATTATTTATCATCATAAGAAATCTTTAAAATCTGTGAAGGCAACCCGCATACATGATTTTTTTTGGGTGTACCCAGGGTTTTCACTTTTCACCGTCGAACACAGTGACTAATCCCCTCACATACATGATACATATATATTAATTCACTTATTATTTGGAGTAGAAGCAGTGAATCGGATTGTACAAACCTTTAACCGGAGTAAATTCATTAATTGATTTTATGGTCCAATGCCAGGCAGACAGAATGTACATTTGCATGAATACCAGAATACTCTGGGGAAAAAAACTTTTCAAGCGAAGGTGACCAAAAGCTTTCCAGATGGCTATACTATTGAAACTGTCATAGATGGAAAGCCTCTTCGTGGAGTGTTATTTTCCAACAAGCCAAAATCTGTCAAGTGGCCTTCTGATGATTCTGATGGGTGAGGACAAGTTATTTCTAAATGTATCTTTCTCTTTCTAGATTGGCTAGCAGCCTAGCACGGCACTGATGCTAGCTTGGTGCCCTCTAACTAGTTGATTATGACTTTCCTCTGACTGGTTTTTTTTCCTAAGATAGGAAAGCGGAAGCCATGGAAACTGATGGTAACAACCTGAACAATGATCCAAATTCTACATCTGAGAATGCAAGACCTACGCCTACTGAGCAGAATGTGAAAGATGTCATCCAGGCAGATGCTCTTGGTGGGGAGTTGACGATGTCTGTCTCCCAAACAGGAGATGCTACAGCTGGAATCAGAAACCCACCCACCACAGATGCTTCACTGTCCCAGGAGGTTTAAGTTTTCCAACCCTTTCCATTTAAAGAAAGAAATCTTAAAGCAGTTAACTTTAAAATTAAATTTGGTATTATAGATTGGACAAATATAGGAGCTTAACAGCTATGACCAAGCCGAGTTGTGTTTTCTCTTGTAGTTGGTGTATATATCATCAACAAGCATGAGACCATCTGATGTGGATTCTTCTTTTTTTTTTTTTTTTTCCTCACTAAAACAGCAAGCACAAGAACTAGGATTGTTTTTTATTTTTTTTATTATTATTACTATTATTATATTATTATTATTATTATTATTTATTAGGATATTTCCGCCACACCTTGGTCTTAGGTGATGAGGAATGGATGAAACCACAAGATTGGAAGCTATCTTGATAAGCCTGGGAAGAAAATGTCTCAACAGAAGAGAGAGAGATGGAAATGTCTCAACATTTTCTCATTGAATCTAATCTAAAAAAAACTGCCCAAAGATGGTGTTTTAGCCCCCTTTTAAGAAGATTATTTACAAGGCAATGAAGGAGATTCATCTCCCCTGAGCTTGTAACATAAAATAAAGAAAACAAAAGGTCACATATTAAATTTAGCATAAATACATTTTAATTCACTAGAATATTTAGATTTTTATTATGTGGTTTCTTTTCAATGATGATCACGTTCCTTGAGCTTTCTAGGACATTCTCCTTCATAGTTTTGGGCCAACATAATGATCCATTGGTCACACATTCAGCTTGGTACCACTCAATCACTAATTGGTCTTCAAAATCTCTATTCGAGCTTATTTTGGATTCAATTAATTTAATCATTGTTGTGATAATTCTTCCAAATTAGAGTAGATGATGATATTTTAAATTGCTCTGGTCGTGTCCTCATCATTCCTCATTCTTCGAGAATATTTGTCCTCGAATCTAACTCTTTTCCTCTATCAAAGGGAAATGAAGGATAATCCCAAGTGACGAATTGTATCTCCTTGTCATATAGTGTGTTTTCCAAAGCTTCCTTGAACAGGACACAATAAGAGAACATATGGGTATATAAGGGCATAAGGCCATGGGTTAAACTAGCTAATTGGTTGGATTCGATCTTTTAGTGTGGTTTGGCCCATGTGCATTATAACCCAATTGAGTGACCCTACCTAATCTTAGTTTATAACAATAGGGAATGATTTGTGACACGAACTTTTTATGGAAAGCAATATCATTAAGTTAGCTATTACCAAAAATTTCATATCAAAACAACAAAAGGAACTATTTTTTTGGGCTTTTTATTTTTGTCCGCACAAATTGCAATTTTCAGCCAAACACAAATGTAACCAGAATTGTTTGGTAGAATCGTAACCTTTTTCTTGTGAGGTATCAACCGTGGGCTCTGATACCAAACTGATGTGGGTTCTTCGGCCTAAACTCTAGTATCAATTTGCCAAAGAGTCCTCCGGTTGCCTGATCTTTTTCTCACAAAAACAGCAAGCACAAGAACTAGGGTTTTGGGGGGTGGGGGTGGGGGTGTTGGAGATAGAATTGGTTGATGTAGGGGCTGGTTAGGGATACTTTTTGTGTTTTTTATTAGGCTATTTCCACCACACCTTGGTCTTAAGTGATGAGTGATGAGGAATGGATGACACCACAATATTGGAAGCTATCTTGATAAGCCCGTGAAGAAAATATCTTAACACACAAGTCAGAGGAAAATCTCTTAACATTTTCCCATTGAATCTAATCTCAAAAAAACTGCCCCAAAGATGGTGTTTTAACCCCTTTTAAGAAGACTGTTTACAAGGCAATGAAGGAGATTCATCTCCCCTAAGATTGTAACATAAAATAAAGAAAACAAAAGGTCACATATTAAATTTATCATAAATATATTTGAATTCACTAAATATATAGAGTTTGATTGTGGTTTCCTTTCAACGATGATCACATTCCATCGGCCTTCTAGGACATTCTCCATATTTTTGGGCCAACATAATGATCACCAAATTGATCTTCAAAATCTCTATTCGGGCTTATTTTGGAGTTCAATTAATTTAATCATTGTAGCAGTAATTCTTCCAATTCAGGGTAGATGGTGATATTTTTAATTGCTTTGGTCGTGTCCTCGTCACCATCATTCAGCATGTCAGCATTTTACTGATATCTAAGAGTTGTTTTTTATGAGAATTTGATCTTGTTCGAACCTGGGATTTGTCTGATAAACTTTTATTAAATCCATTGGCAGCTCCCTGGAACCTCAAAACTATTTGCGGAACCTGAACCCAATTTGGAAACTAGTGAGGCAAATAACGCACCTAGGTCTATTGCTGATCTCTCTAAGGAGAATACTTCCATTGCTGAGAATAACACCACTCTATCCTTAAACTAAGGTACTTGTTAAAGCATGAGCTGGTTACATATTTAATTGTTACACTCAAGATTTTACCTTGTGTACATATGCATGAACATTACTATCTTATTTTGCCTTCTTGGTTTAATAATGTAGCCACATGCAAAAATGTGTGTGACTGTCTTACGGATCTCAAAAAATGGGTATGGGCAAACAAAATTAGTTTAGGCTATTTTAAGGATATAGAACAACAAAAATATTCCATACCCATTTTTTAAATGCAACATTCCATTGTAAATCATGATGGCTATATCAATATTGATTCTTGGAAAAGCCACCATGAATGCGGGATTGAACACCCTTGTTTATGTTGGAAATGCCACCATACCATATCTCTGTGATTTCAGTCTTTCTGTTTCTATTCGATTTTCCATTTCTTCAGTAACAACTACTGGGATTGACTATAGTTTTACTTATTTAAAAAAATTATTTGTATGTGATAAAAGTTATTATAATATATTATAACTAATTAAAAGTTTTAGTTTTTGGTAGAAAAGTAACGAGTATTACTTTAAAAGTTTCAGTTTTCAGTATAAAAGTAATGGGCTTTACTTTAAAAGTATTTGTTTTTTGTATAAAGGTGATAGGTGTTACTCCCTTTGTCCCATTTTACTTGTCTTGTTTACTATTCATTAGTCAAACCAACTCTTTCTTCTTTGCTTATTTTATTTAGTATTTTTAATCATTTCTTTTGGTTTTTTATAGTACTTCTAATATTGTTTCTAAATATATAAAATTAATATACTAATACTAAACTTAATGTTATGAAAAATTGAATTCAAAATAACTTTAGTCAAGCCTCATTAATTGAACTAGACACATAAAATGGGACAGAGGGAGTACTTTACAAGTACTAGTTTTTTTGTATAAAAGTGATAGGTAAATGGTAATACTTGAAGTATTAATATTTTGTATAAAAGTGATAAGTATTACTTTAAAAGTATTAGTATTTAGTACAAAAGTGAAATGTATTAGTTTAAAAGTATTAGTTTTTGGTATAAAAGTAATAAATGTGACAGGTATTAGTTTTTGGCGCCTGATAGGAACAACAAACAAGTTGGCATTCCTTTCAACATAAAAGGAGATCTAAGACGATATAATTTGAAGTACATAGTTCAGTGATTGACTTAGAAAAAAAAAAAAAAAAATAGGAATCGAAAGAAATTAATCTCGAAATAATTATCCGAAGACTTGACTTCAACACTGTCTTTCACTTTTGGGGCTGGCAATCTCTGCACTCCTATTCTGAACCCAAATTCAGGTTCCTGGGGAACTTGTTTGTTGTGCAAAGATCATGGCTGGATTGACAGCAATTTTCATCTTCAAAATAGTTTAAGATCCATTTTTACTGCTCCATACGTGTTTATGAAATCTACTTTGAATTGATACCTGGTAATTATTTCAGCTATTGACACAATTTAGTTCAATTTTGAGTATACCATGACGCGTAGGCTTAGTATGAATGTTCTTGGAACAATTCAAAAGACTGAAAAGAGTTTATAATTATTATTTTGAATGAAGCAGTGTCATTCCTTTTGTTACTTCAGGTCTTCAGGATAGTTTTTGACGGTAGAAATTAACAAATTGTACAGTTAGAGACGGGATCATGGAGGATCTTACTTGCCAAGTGGTAATTTTACTGACACTCTTACTCTTTCCCTCTCGTATTTCAGCAATATCATACTTCTTATGTTGTTTTCCACTCAACATCGATATCCTTTTACTAACTACCAAGTGCCTGCAAAGTAATCTCTTTATAAAATAAGTAATGGAGTAAGAAAAGCTGCAAAGTAAATTAATCGGCATTAGACTATACCAATGTTGCAGAAGGCGCTAGCCGCTAATCGGGCGCCTAGGCGGTTGAGTAATTCGAATATATCGTCTGCACTTTTCCCATTCAGGACTGTGAGTTGTTAGACTATTATAATCACACAAACTAGTCAACTATATATGTTAGATGGTTAGTTGAGTACATGGCTGGAGGAATATAGAAGAGGAGCAACTGAGCAGGCAAAAAGTACCACTCAACCGAGTTGGGCGCTGACTCAGCCTAGTTGGGTGCCAACTAAGCGGAGTTAGGCGCCTAGGGCGTCTAAACCAATTAAAAGCCGTCCCGGCGGCCGATTTTTACAACACTGGACTATACTGATTATGATCACTGGGGTTTCTTCGTTTTTGCAGTGAAGGAATTAATTATTCTACGATAGGGATGACCAGTTTGGTTGTATCGAGGTTCCTCCCAACGGTGGTGATTATTTCTGTTCTGACTTTACATCTTCATCCCACGGATAGGGGTGGCATATCTTGAACCACCCGCCCGCTTCCCTTCCTCGTTTTCCTGGGCTGAAAGTGTGACTTGAACCCTTTGATGTTGTTTTTGCTGGTGGTTGGTGACACCCAACCTAGTCCTCTTACCTTTGACTTCTAGGTTGTTCAAAATTGTGATCAGTGCTATTATTAGCTACCTTTTTCCAGGAGCACTATTTTGGATACTGAATTTCTCTAATGTTTAGTTTGTTTATTCATAGTGTTGGTCAACCTGAATTAGATAATCTTGTATAAATGTGGATTCTACTATCCCAATCTTGAGATTGTGAGTATACCTCATCAACCATAATGGATAACTAATCTCAGGTGGAAGGGAACTGATTTCACTTCAGAAATATAATCTTGAGTTTAACCCTTGTAAATACAATGATTGCTGCTGCTTAAAACTTTGAGGTTTCTTACTCAAATTTTATGGATGAACAACTCACATCTTTAATTTGATCATTATATAAATTTAATTGATTTTTTTTCCCATGACTATTAGATCATTTTCACATTTAGTTCTTGACTATTATTATTATTATTATTTTTTTTCACATTTGTTCTCACGACTTTTAAAATCTTGTCACATTTAATCCTATGACTTAATTTACAGTCACGTAGTTTAAAAAAAAAAAAAAAGATAAAAATGACAACTTTGTCCTTCAAAATAAAGTTAATATCCATTTTGGTTCCTCGACTATTTGGTAATGCGCAATTTAGTCTCATATTATTAATAGTACCCAATTTAGTCTTCTAACTTCTAAAATTATACCCAATTTGGTCCCCTGTTACAATTTCCATCCATCCACCGTCAAAGAGAGGGATAAAAACGTCCTTTTATCTAATAGTTGAGGGACCAAAATGGGTGTTAACTATTATTATCTAATAGTCGAAGGACCAAACAATTTTCATCCATCCACCGATAAAGAGAGGGACAAAAATGTCCTTTTATCTAATAGTTGAGGGACCAAAATGGGTGTTAACTATTATTATCTAATAGTCGAGGGACCAAAATGGGTATTAATTGCAATGTCTCCCTCCACCATATTACTTCCTACAGTATTATTTTAAAAAATAAAATGTAAACTACTAAAGTCAGTCTATTTGTCCTTAAATGTGGTGTGAGTTAATTGACTTAAAAAAATTGATGAAATCTCAATTTCTTTTCTTTTACTTAAATAAACATATATGATTAGAGTGCACTAATTATTATCCTCTTGAATATAACCTTATAACTGTTATTTGTTTCCCAAGAGTTAGGCATATCCATTACGACATAATATGATGTATTCTAAGATTTATCCCATTTTTAATTTGTTTAATGTGATCTTTGTTCTTGAAAAATGATTTTCACAAAACATTCTTTAGGCTGATCTCGATCAATCCACTATCAAAATGTCTTTTCTTTCTTTATTTATTTTTTTAAGAGAAAATTTCGCAATCATTATTTTATATGTGCCTAAAACTCGAAAGAGTGCTGACAAAAATCAAACTCTATAATGATCTTCAAATAATGCTTCATTCACTTGCCACTTTTAGTCCTTTCATAACATAATGATATCTTTTGAAGATTTGATTTAGTTAACGGTTAATTCGGTTCAAAATTGTCGATTAACCAAAATTTTAAATATATAAATAAATAAATAAATAATCTAATATGTAAAAATCCCTATAAATTTGTAATGTTGTTATGGTATTGTTTTTTGTATATTTCTTATGGATTTATTATTATATGTATTATTTTAATTAAACTTATTATTATATGTATTATTTTTAGGATTTAACGGACCGATTAACCGAAAAAACTTCACTTCGGTTAATTCGGTAATACAAAGTTCGATTCGATTAACGGTTAAAGTTTTTTAAAAACTTCTGTTAAAATGGTTCGGTTAACCGATTGCACACCCGTAGTCTTGATATACAAAACTAAACTAAGAGCAACCCCGTCTATGATTTTTTGTGGGGTCCAATATGGGTTGAAAGATAGAGAAGAAGGAGAGAGAGTGTGTGCATTTTGAACTCCTGAGAGATAGTGGTTTTTTGTAGGTCCCATGAGAGAAAAAAAAAATGGAGGAAAGACCGCGCATAATTTTTTGTGGTACATTTTAGTTTTTAAAATAATAAGAAGTAATATAGTGGCAGGCGGAGACATTGTCCCCAAGCCACTATCATCAATAATAATAATAATAATAATAATAATAATAATAATAATAGTTAATACCCATTTTGGTCCCTCGACTATTAGATAAAAGGATGCTTTTGCCCCTCTCTATAACGGTGGATGGATGACAATTATAACAGAGGGCCAAATTGGTTATGATTTACAAGTTAGAGGACTAAATTGGATACTTTTAATAGTATGGGACTAAATTGTGCATTACCTAATAGTCAAGGGACCAAAATGGGTATTAACTCTTCAAAATAAGTAATTTGACTATTTTGCACTCGTGTTCAATAACATAGAGATTCAAATTTTGTCATTAGTGATTGGAAATCTGGAGACGAATCTCTTCTTCTCCGGCATGGAGACGGAGCCGTTTTTTTTTTTAAAAAAAATTATTTAATAAAATAAAAATAAAAATTTATTATTTTAATATTACCTCCACGTCAACAAATTAACAAGTAAAATAGGTCACTTTGGATTCAATTGCATCATTTTATGTTGTTCAGAGATCCAATTGCATGTTTTTTGAATTCAATGGTCTAATTGCATTTTGAGTGTTGTTCGGTGGCCTATTTGACCTTTATTTCATTTTAATACAATTAGATTCCTTTACCAATTACTATATCACCCTTGTGAATTAATTACAACTTAAATGGAAGAGGGAAAGGGTGTTCTCAGTGGAACCCACTCCTGTGTGTCTGTGTATGAGAACTAAGTTTTTTTTGTGATAAATGTGAGTTAATTTGATCCGTTCATCTAAGATAATCAATAACTATAAAATAACGGGGTTAATTTTATAAATATTAGTATAAGGTAATCAACGTAGGGACTCCATGCCTCTATTTCTTTAATGTAATAAAACTAATTAAACCAAATACGTTCTTTTGCAAATTAGCACCAGTAACCCAATTGTACATGAGACACTATCAATAAAAAAGAAGCGGACAAATAATGAAGACGAAGACAATGACAAACCTATCCAAAAGCGAATTAACCAAACTTATTAATTTCAACCAAAAGTAATATCTACTATCTAATACCATACCAACTACAATAAGTATTTATATAATTATTTTTATAAAAGTACAAATTAAACATTAATTTCAATGCCAAGTTTACAACTATAATGAACTTCTCATATATAATCTTGCATTGCTATACTTTGAATTACTTATTTAAATACAAATATTGTGCACTAAATCAGTCGCGCAATGCGCGTGTAAAACTAGTAATATGATAAGTGCATACACATAATATGCAAATTGTAAATTATATGTCTGCAGTTCACATATTGTGCATATAATTAACATATTATGTGTCTATAGTTAACATATTATGTGCTTTCAATTTGTATGTTGTTAACATATTGAGTCAATACCCCCATAATACACTATAGAACACTATAATTCTCTAATGACATGTTTGGTTCATGGAATAGGTCAGGAAAAAGATAACATTCCTTGTAATAGACCTATTCCATTGTTTGGTTGTGTCATTTTGTCATGGGATTATGAGAATAACATTCTTAGGAATAAGCTATTACCTTTGTAAAGGGAATAACCATTCCTAGGAGGAGCCTTAGAAAGTTGGTATTAGCTATTCCCGTGCTTTTGGGAATAACTTTTATATCACAAATACCAAAAATACCATTTACATATTATTTAATATTTATATTTAATAAATATAATGTATTATATAAATGTATATATTTAATTAATTATAATTTTTATCTATCAATAAATATATATTTAAATAATTATTAAATTAACACCAAATTCTTTTAATTTTTCTCTCTACCTAGGATTTTCTAGGGTTTCACGTCGGTCCATCGACTTCTTTCACACGGAGGTTTTCGGTCGGTCGAACTAGCTGGTTTTGTGGTTTGCGAGTATGGCGTCAACGTCGGAGGTGCCAGGAGTTGCAGGGCTCGCCGCAAGGTGGGCGGATATGGTGTTGGAGGAGGAGGCCACGACGTTCATGCTGGCGGCGGAGTCGGAGGAGGGAGATGCGACACCGGTTGTCAAGGAGGAAAGCTGGGGAGTTGTAGGGCGCTTCTTGACACGAAAGCTAGTCAAGCTTGAGTTGATGAGTCAGGTCATGGCGTCGGTGTGGCAACCGGTGAGTGGAGTTGAGGCAACAGAGGTAGAGCCTGGCCGGTTCTTGTTTGTCTTCCATCACGTAACGGACATGGAACGGGTTCTAAACTAGGGGCCTTGGTCCTTTGATAATAGCACTCTTGTGTGTAAGCAAGTCCCCGAGGGAGTTATGCCGGCGGATGTGGTGTTGGATTCGGTGGATTTATGGGTACAGCTGCATGGATTACCAAATGGATACTTGTCCGGTTGAATATTAGAGCAGATTGGGAACTTCATGGGGAAGTTTGTAAAGAGTGATGATCGTTTTGACAGTGCTCCATGGAAGGTGTTTCATCGCATTAGGGTTTCGCTATCTGTTGACAAGCCCTTGAAAAGACATATGAATTTTATTAAGCGAAACAAAACAAATTGTTGGGTCATGTTCAAGTACGAACGATTACATATGTATTGCTATTTTTGTGGCATGCTAGGGCATTCCTATAAATTCTGCCGTGGTGCGAGAGACTCGAAGATGGCGGTAGAGGAGTACTTGTTTGGTCCAGAGTTGCGCGCAAGGGGAACTCGTGGCCCTAGGCCGGTGGGGGGCAGTTGGTTGTTGCTGCCAGGATGGGCGGCAATGGCGCAGCGTACGCCGGTGAATATCGCGGGTGAGGGGTGATGGTCGGATGGTGGGAATCGGCCCAATAACGCCGTGGAAGCAGAGTTGGTGGCGGTTGTCAAACGGCGTCGGGAAGAGGTGGGTGATGGTGGAAGGGTTGTTGGTGGGGATGTTGTTATGGCCGAGCTCTCAAAAAACTTGCAGCAGGCGGGTTCTGGTTCCTAGACCCGCCCGAACCAATGAGTACCCTCAGTTGGAACTGCCGTGGCTTGGGTAATCCACGGACAGTTCGTGAAGTTGTGAACATGGTGCCCCGTAAGCAACCCAACTTTGTATTTCTGATGGAGACTAAGGTGACACGTGATCACGCTGAGCAGATTCGTGTCAAAATCGGCTTTGAAGGACTGTTCTATGTTGATAATAATGGTTTGAGTGGTGGTTTGGCATTGTTTTGGAGGAAGAATAATACGACAAGACTACTCAGTTACTCAACGAACTATGTTGATGTTGAGGTAACTATTA